AGAAACTGTACTGGAAGTGGCTACACCTAAGGCAGATGTGGTCTTCAATACACCAAGTTTCTGTGAGTATGAAATCATTCAGTAAGCCCAGTTAGCATGGTCACTTCTGTCAAGTTTTCATAAAGACTGCATTTCCCATTGGTTGGCATAATCAGAAAACACGTTAAAACAAAACGATCCCCCCCCCCCCACTATTTTGTAACTGAATTAGTAACGTTAGTTTTTATAGCTCTTGAGAATCACTGGATACATACTGCCTGTTTACCAAGACAGCACAGACCCAGAGTAGGCCGCTCTTGTACTGCGCCTTGCCCTAGGAAGTACCTTTCTGTTCCAGCTGTGCTACCCTGCAACCTAGTTTTTGCCTGTGCGGTTAATGGGGGTGGGGGAAATGCATGGTATTACGTCTGACTTTCCTCAATATGATTTGCAGAACAAGCAGTATTATATACATTACACATGCGCATTCTTTTCGCAACCTCCGAGACGTCCAGCAACGCCTTACGATGGCAGCGTTGCAGGGGGAAACGGACTCGCAGGGGGGAGGGTGACAGGCAGTGACGAGAAGGGGTGGCGGAGCTTGTTAGCACAGCTCTTTGCAGCACAAGCGAAAGCAGAAGCAAGCACCTCAGAGCCACCATTTTGACACCCCCCTTACCCCCCCCCCCCCAATATAGTGTACACCCGCCTTTGCTAAAATGCTGTTCGCACACACACCGCGGTGACACCCACCCGGGCCTGTCAAATACCGCCTTCCCCAAGCGAGGGACGAGGGAGCCGGGAAAAGAAGGAAGGAAGAAGGCGCTGTGGTTTTTACCCGTAGCAGGCGGCCGGTCCCCGGGACATGAGCGGCGCGGCCCTGGCGGGCAGCAGCAACACCCGGAGGGCCCGACCCGCGCTCCGCCGAACCATTTTACCCACCGAGGCCGACCCGGCGGGTAGACGAGAAAGAAGGGGAGGCGGGGCGGCCTCGGTGGGTAGAGTCCGCCCCGCCTCCCCTTCTCTCTCTTCCTGCCGCCGCCAGGCAGCGCAGCAGCCCTGTCAGTTGCAGGCCGCGGCTGCAGTGCGGCCCAGTGAGCACCTCTGTGGGAGGCAGAGTCCCACCTCGACGCAGCTCCACCCGAGGTGTCCGCTGGGAGTGAAGATCCCTGCCGTGAGGGATACAAGGGACCAAGTCCTGAGCACCTGCACCTCTGCCCATGGAACAAGAAGCTCTGTTCTACAGAGAACAGAGATGACCACCATGTCTTTTGTGAGAAAACAGAAGCCATGGTGGTCATCTGTGACTCCAGGACTGCCTGGAGAAAGGCTCCCTGGGGCAGTTGTGTCAGTGAGGACAGCTCTGGGGACTGCAGCTCCCATAAAGAGATGCCTTCAGCATGCTAACCCCAGGCACTTGGCAGCAATCATTAACCCTGCCTCACCAATGTTGCTTTCAGGGCCTGCTGAGAGCACTAGTCCCCTGGCTGAGGGCTTTGGCCTGGCAAATGCCCATACTACGTGGGGCCACCCACCTCTGGAGTGGCCTAACTGCCTTTGTTCACCACAGCATTTAGTCTCACTTTCCTCACGACCTTCTTCACCAAGAAGACTGGCCACTTTCCCTGGTGCCTGTTTTCCATGTGTGGAGGAGGACTGTCCCGTCTGAGTCACAGCTGGCCAGAGTGATGGTGGAGAGGGCTGTGAAGGTAGTGAGGAAAACAGCAAAAAGCTGTAGAGCTGGTACCAGCCTTGAAACAGACGTAGGAAGTAAGGCCTCCTGCCTTATACCTGAATGAGTGGGATTTCCTCAAGACAGGTCAGTGTCACATGTTCACTCCAGCCCAGCAGGAGCTCAGTAACTGCTCAAGTGTCTGTCTTCCCACTCTATTGCCATTTGTTTGCATGGGATTAAGAAGTTTTACAGGTAAATGACAGTCTTAAATCCCAGTGCATAAAGAAATTAACTGTGTGAGCATACAGGTTCAGTTTATCCCCTGAGCAGATCAAACCATTTAAGATTATGGTCTTTAGTATGGCTAATTACAAGTAATCCATCATTAGGACAAGCTGTCTTCACTCTTGCCTGGTGACATCTACAAGCCCCTACAGTTTTTTTTTTGGTTGCCAGGTCACTTTCAGAGGCTCATCTTTTTTGTCTGTCCACCTTTCTTTCTGGTGAGGTAGCTTGGTCTTCTGACACACTAACTGGTTTGGTTTGATGGTTTTTTTTTTTTTTTTTCTCCTGAATTGTGCAATTCCTTTAAATCAAAAGGGGCTCCTATCTTATGTATCACTGAGCTTCAGAGGGAAAGGTCTCAATCCTGTATCCAAGTTCATGCCTGTTAAAATGCTTTTCAATCTACCTACATTTCCTCTAACTACTATGGCTGATGGAGATGTAACACATTCTCAGAACCTGTGCTGAAAAACTGAGTGATAAGGTAGAAAGTGTCCATCATAAAATGCAGGGGCAGGGCAAGAGATAGTTGGAAAGGTAAAACCAGAAGCCCTCACCAAATGAGAGAAAAGGAAGATGGGGAAGTTTATGTATCACTTAAAAAAAAAGGATGTGGTAGTTCCAGATGGGTTAATCCCATTGTCAGTGTGACAAAAGCTGTGTGGTTCCTTTGTAGAAGAGGCTGTCATAGCTGAGGTATTGCACCATGTGTCATCTCCAGGCCTTCCATCACAGTCTGTAAAGTGGCCATTTGTGTCCCAAGTGCCTGGACCATGCCATTCCTCCCACAGTGAGTGTCCTGACTTCTTTGGCCTGAGAAGAAGCAAACTAACATGGCGGTTGAGCAGACATGGCACTGCCTAAAGACTCTTTTGTGTATATGTAAGGAAAATGACTGGCACCATGAAGGGTGACAGGAGAGAGCTGCTGTAGAGGAGAAAGTTGCTGTCTCAGTCCACAGGGCAGTGGCTGGAGAATCAGACATTCTAGCTGTAGAAAGAGGATTCTGCCAAGGTTGGATGCAGCTGATGGATGATCTGGGTACAAAAAGAGTGTAAACTCACAGCTTCAAACTGTTCAACCTATTCAGTTCACCAGAATGTCCAGTCTTGTCAGTAAAGCAGTTTTAGACATGATGGGCAACTGGGAGAATTAAGTATTCCAGCCCAACTATTTCCTCAGAAATGTTCTCCTCATAAATTACTGCCTGAGAGGAGAGAAAATGCTTTGAGCAAACCAGACACAGACTTACTCTTGCACAGCCTGTAAAAGAGTTGAGAACAACTGGGGCACTGGTACTCCTGTTCACTCCCATAAAACATTTTTATTTGTCTAGTTACTGCTTGATGGTTCAGTTTCTGGGAACTATTTCTGGCTATTGCACTGAAAAGAAAAAGAAAACAAACACATTTTAAAAAGGTAGCACTGCTCTGCTGGTGATGTCTCCCCAGGCTCAGATTTCCCTTTCCCTCTCAACTGTCCTGTAATTATTTTACCCCCCCAGGATGTTGCCCCATCTCTCCAGTAGGGTCATCTCTACAGTCAGAAAGCGGTGCTTAATGACAGCTTCTGGCTGCTGCTGTCAGAATTATGCAAGGCTCTCAAGGGCATCACTGCTGCACCCTTGGTCTTTGTCACATGTGATGAACCCTCACAGTCCCTGCAGCCAGGCTGCACTGTCAATGCTACATGGATTTGTTCCTTACAGAACTGAACAGTAGTGAAAAGGGTGATTCAAATACCATTTCCAAGCCCATAAGTATTTTCCCAAACTTCCTGCGAGGGACGGAATTGCAGAACAGTGAGATCTTTCAATTTGCCCATTAAATTGCAAGGGACAAAGTAGCCTTATGACTCCTGGTTGGACAGAAAATATGTGTCTACTATTTTTGTACTTCCCCATTTAGAAAATCTAGAAAAGACCTAGTCAGTTACACTGACATGAGAAAATGAACATGAGCTGGCAGTGTGCGCTTGCAGCCCAGAAAGCCAACCGTATCCTGGGCTGCATCAAAAGGAGCGTGATCAGCAGGTCGAAGGAGGTGATCCTGCTCCTTTACTCTGCTCTCATGAGACCTCACTTGGAGTATTGTGTGCAGTTCTGGTGTCCTCAACATAAAAAGGACATGGAACTGTTGGAACAAGTCCAGAGGAGGGCCACGAGAATGATCAGGGGACTGGAGCATCTCCCATATGAAGACAGGCTGAGAAAGTTGGGGCTGTTCAGCCTGGAGAAGAGAAGGCTGCGTGGAGACCTCATAGCAGCCTTCCAGTATCTGAAGGGGGCATATAGGGATGCTGGGGAGGGACTCTTCATCAGGGACTGTAGTGACAGGACAAGGGGTAGCGGGTTCAGACTTCAACAGGGGAAGTTTAGATTGGATATAAGGAGGAAATTCTTTCCTGTTAGGGTGGTGAGGCACCAAATGGGTTGCCCAGGGAGGTTGTGAATGCTCCATCCCTGGCAGTGTTCAAGGCCAGGTTGGACGAGGCCTTGGGTGATATGGTTTAGTGTGAGGTGTCCCTGCCCATGGCAGGGGAGTTGGAACTTGATGATCTTAAGGTCCTTTCCAACCCTAACTATTCTATGATTCTATGACATAGAGGAATATGTAGACAACCTGAGACATGCTGGAAGATCAGACAAAAAGAGTAATTCTAGGTCTCCAAAGGCATTAATTTCATTCACACATGAGATTCTTCTGTCAGCAGCAGTGATCCCATACAAGACATCAGAATCATTACCATTAGCTGGGCTTTAAATCTGGAGCTTTTAAGAAGAAGCTAATTTGTCAGGACCATCAGTGCACTAATAGGCTTTAATGGCCACTATCAGCCTCAGCTGAGGTGTCTCCCATCCCTTCTCCTCCTGAGCCAAGGAGCCTCATTTCAGCTTAGCACAGGGCCATCAGTTCCTGTGTTAGCTATGTTCCAGCCATATCTGTGTCTGGTTGGGGTCCCTTGTGATCCAGGTACTGTTGTAGACCTTGCTTCTTGCTGTAGAGTTGCTTCTTGAGTCTGTGTACATATTGACTGATCATTTTTTCCCCTTTTATTTTAGCTACTTCTATGAAGTGCAATATCCTGCTATTTTCATGCCTGTTTTGATACTTGGGCTTTTGTGCCTCTTGGATGTTGATCATTCCAGGAAACAGGGTTTTCACCTTGGGAAAAAAGCCTGTTGCTGCAACTGCATGAAGAGGTAAGATATGGGTAGTGGTGAATTGCCACATTCAGAATGAAGATGTGAAAATGCTAATGTTTCTGTGATTTGGTATTGACCTTCCAAGCAAGAAAGATTGAGGAGACATGAAATCAATTTGAAGCTGTGAAGTGTGGAGAGTAGCAGCATATGTTTTCATAGCAGGAGGCCTATTTAGCTAGAATACTATCCAAGATGAAAATAACTGGATTTATATAGCAAAGGATGCTTGTCATAAGCAGAACAGGTAGTAGTACAAGATCCCAGATACCTTGGCTCAGAGAACATTTCAGACTCATGAAGAAACTAAAGCACAGACGCGCATGTAAGAATTGCTTTTTTTATGTTTGTCTGTTATCTTTCTTACGCGAGCAAAGAATAGATGTTTGTCAGCTTAAGTAGTATCTGTATACTTTTCATATATTTATGAATAATCCAAGGTGCCCAAGTGCATGTATGTCAGTGTGAGATGGTCTCATTATTTCAAAGTTGAGTACGATCTCCAGCCTGTAAAGCTAAGCAGTCTTGGTATAATTTTTGTTCAGATTCAGGTATTCTAGAGATCAGGTTTTCTAGAGATTCAGAGACCTGAAATGGCTCTAAATACTCTATGACAAAAGCAGAAGCAGCTTCTCCCTTGGAGAGGGCAAAAGTAGCATTCAGAAGGCAGTTCCCGATATGATTTTGGAAGGGGTTGTAGGAATCTGTTTTAGTGAACTTGGTGACCCAATGTCCTTTCTGGTGCTGCATTTAATTCTCTTGACTTGAGACGTGTGGGGGTGGCACAGAAATTGCAACCCATTGCTCAAAATCCAAGCAGTATTACTGCTTTGTTAAGGTGATTAGTTTGGATTTTTGTCTCAAAGAGCTCTCATCAAGCATCTCTCTGAGCTCTGTAAGCTTTAATGCTTATTATCTGATCGAATCTTAGTTCTGGCAGAAGTTAGTGTCTGTACCAGAGACAAGGAAACTGTGCTAAAGAGAAGGAAGTGACCCACTCAGCATTGTGGAGGAGGAGAGGGAAATCTCATATAAGTCAGGAATCTCCTTCATTTCACTCACAGGCAATACTTTCTTCAGCACAAATATAGCTTCTGGACTTTGGAATTTGTTCTGATCCTAACTCTGCCATTCCCTTCTCCCCAGGGGCTGTGTTAAGGATAGAGTGTGAGCTGCACTTTCCTTAGGTGCTGTTTTGTGGTGAGAAATGAATGAACATTGGTTGGCTGACTCCTGATGCTCACTGGTATGCTAGGAGGGAAACCTGGCACGCTGCAAGGAGCATGTTCTTCTGTACTCTGTATGGGTAGGGAAGGGGTGGAAAAATGCCTAGAGGACATTAGGACACAGGGAAGAAAGCCCTCCCGGGTGTTAGTTACCTCTGCTGTGACCCTGCTTGTACTGGATCATCCCTCCTACTTTGTTTCCCTCTATGTTTTTCTCACTGTGCACAAGATTGGGTGTGTTTCAGAGACTCTGAGTTTCTTACTCTATTTTCCATGTATCTATAAGGTTGAAAGGCTTTCATTTTTTGTATTATAATGTTGAAAAGTCAATCAGAGAAAAGTGGCATAGTTTGTTTAAAGCTGCTTGATGTAACATAGAGATCAAAAGAGAAAATGATCTGCTTAACAGACAGGAAAAAGGTCACTGCTTTTTCCTAGGAAGTGATCAAAGCTTGCTTCATTGAAACAGTGGTTAGACTGCTGTAGCATGCCAATGCTTAAGTTTCTTTTCTTCTACATGTCATTTTGCTGCACCTCTGACTAAGACAGCGAAGGCTGATAGCTAAAAGAACTTCCAGAAGATAGCATGCATGGCAGAATTCTCCATAAGGTTCCATCACACTTTGTTTAAACACTTCATTTGAATCTCTTATGTTGGTTTTATGCTGATTATACCCAGAGGCCATTCAATGGTATCAGATACTTTTATATTTTCAGTTTTGAATACGATGCATGGTATGAAATTCTTTTACAGTTATATGTTAGACATTGAGCATGAGCATATTAAAATTAAAATTAACAACGTAGTTTTGTAAACTCGTAGAAGTTAAAGGCATTTTTTTTTGTTTTGCTTTTAGCTCTCAGCTGCTGGAGTTTATGGTTCAAGCTGTGGGCTGAGATAAGAACAGCTGAATTAAAATGAAGTATAAGGTAATACTAACACTAATAATAATAATAATAATAATGAAAAGGGTAATAACAGAGAGATAAAACAAAAAAAAACACCCAAACCTTGATGGGTGATCAAGGCTGACCGATATACAGCCTGTCCCTGAGCAGCTAACTACCCCCAGTTTATATACTGACCATGATATTCTGTGGTATGGAATATCCCTTTGGCTAGTTCAGGTCAGGTGTCCTGGCTGTGCTCCCGCCTGGCTTATCCTTCTGGAAGACCAATTATCTTGACACAAACTTTTTGATACAACCAGTAAGGATGTATTCACTGAGAACTGCTTGGCAGAAAAAACTTATTCCAAAAAGCTTGTGCAAAAAAGAGAGCTCCAGAAAGCCTGTTCAGAATTATTACTTGTTATTGGAAGGTCTTAAGGAAAAAATACCCTCATTTTCCCTCCATTCTCTGTCAATTTCTTTCTTTTTTGATTTGCATTAAACTATTAAGGATATCCGGTCTTTGGCAGTCATAAAGAGCTTTGGCAAGTTTTCCAAACGTAGCACCTTTGGCACCTTCCCTCATTACCCACTTAAGCAGCATTTGGTAAACTTTTTCTTTTAGTCCGTATCGATCATAGTCGTAATCAATTTCATCAATGTCAGGTTCACAGAAGTCCAGTTTACGAGCACAGTCCTTCCACTGTTTGGCCAACTTTTCTTTCACTAGATTCAGATGTTCATCAGTCACAGCACTTCCGTTGTCTGCAAAAAGTATAAGAAAATGGCATTGTTTAACATTTCTTCTGCCCTTTTTGCTGTCTCACCTGTTCTACTAGTTACTGGTAATATCTAGAGACAGAATTTTAGTGATAACAATCTGAAGTGGATTTCACTGAAGGCAGTATTACCCAATGATGCCAGGGAAGAAACACTTCAGGACACATGTGTTCACAGTTCAGTTGCTGGACTTGCTTTTTGACCTGAGGCTATCACAGTTTGTCACTAAACCTGTGAGATTGAAGAGCTCCTTCTCAGAATTCTTTCATAGCTGACTGTTGTCTGTATGATGTTCTATATTCTGGGACACTAGTAATTTGTTTACTTAGGAATACACAGAGATAATTTAATTTGGTATTGACCAACAAAAATAAATTGCATTTCAGAATCTTCCAATTTCTACCAGAATGAAGTGGTCACAGCCCCAGACCTGTCAGTGGTCAAGAAGCATTTGGGCAATGCTCTCCAATATCTGGTTTAACTTTTAGGTTTCCTTATGTGGTTTCAGGCACTGGGCTCAACGACCTTCATGGGTCCCTTCCAACTCAGGATATTCCATGACCTGAATAATAAGTCAGGTGAGGACCACCAATCCTAACCAATCTGAGTGTTGTTACTCCTCTTGATGCATATACATCAATACTTGTATCTAGTGTCTCGTAAGAGGTCATAGAACTATAGCATAAATGAAGTACACGGTATTACAGAACAGTATTAGCACAAACTCTTACTTGTTTTATACACTCTCATGCACGTAGAAGAAAAGAACACAAACAGTTATTTCTCAAGTATCAGAGGGAGAAAGCAGTACTGCTTTCACACATTCCAAACCAAATGATTTTCAGATGAGTATATAGCGAGGATACACCAAGAATAGGGAGCTATTTCTCTTACCAAACACACCATTTTTCTTATAATACCTATAAGATTCTTCCGTAGCACCAGGATAAGTGCTGACGTTTTGACCGGACTCTTCAATCTTCATTTGATTGTTGGATCCAATTTGAATTGCAGAACTGTTACTTATGTTGTACTTGACTGAATCTTCTGTATAAGGGAATGTAATACAATTTTATAATCAACTGCATATTGTTCAAATGTCAAGAATGAACATGAGAAGGAGGTAAGGAGAAAGAAAGTTCTGCTAATAAGGGAAGTGATTAAATGCTTTTATTGCATTTAATGCAGAAATAGCCATTTACTGGCAACTGTGAGCTTATTTTCATTATGCAGTCAACACAAACATACTTTTACAAAGTGAAAACTAATCCTATTCCCTTTTATGATAAAGTGGCATAACCATGCCTTACATGCTGGTAATTACTAGACTGTAAATAAAGATTCCTGCACTTTAGGAATGTGTAGCAGCCTCGCTTTCTGCTGGCTAACAGCTGCAGAAGGTAGTCCTTATTTGAAAGCACTTTTTGTTTTAATCTAAAAGCCTTACTACTTCTGCCTCTCAGCTTTACTTTTCATAGACATACATTCAAGTTTACAGTTGTGATTTCAAAGTTCTGTGACACTACAGAAAATTGTTTCTACTTGCTCATAAAATTTCTATACTCCATGTTATACTATGCTGTCTTGATGGCATCTCTCTTCCACAGTTTATTTCATCTCTGCTATCTAGGAATGTATCCTTGAGTTGTATCTATTTTCACAGTGCAGTACTTGTGTAGTGTTTGTTTCAACAACATTGTTTTTTGGTTTTGGTTTGTTGGTTTTTTTTCCCCCCTCTTCTGTACTTTTGGTTCTAAGGCAAGATTAGAATGTTTTCCAAGATGCCTTACCAAAAAATGCTACTCGTTTATTTTAAGGCCTGAATCCTCAGCAATAAAAGTCAATATGCACTGATTGCATTGCTAAATTGTGTGCATCTCCGTGAGCTTGCATCTGTAGTTTTGTATATGATTAGCTAAAAACCTAATTTGGTGTCTTTTGCTTGCAGTTGTCCGATTTTCACACATAACATGAAACATGAATATTCTAGTCATGTTGGATGACATCAGTTTTTTATTCTCTTGACAGGGTTTTCTGAACTTTTTTTAGATAATCATCCATTAAATGTTCTAACTCTAGTTTAAATGGTGAATATCACAACCTAGGTATAAAATTGAAGTACAGATGCTTAAAATGACACACAAACTCTGTATTTAATCATCAAAAAGGATGACTAGATGTACAAATATCCTTGGTACATGCTCAATTGCAGTGTGGAGATCTATGGTCATGCATGAAAATCTGATTAAATGCATTTAATATTTGTTAACCTGAAACTGCTAGTCAGAAATACCTATATGCATGCATGATTAGTTTCTAGACATTGCACAAAAGGAATGCATTTTATCATGTCTCAAAATATTATGATTCCTGTATCCTTTCCTTTTTTTTGTTGGGGTTTGGTTTTTTTTTTTTTTTTTTTTTTTTTTTTTGAGGTGAAGGCCTTGGGGAATATCTTCATATTTTTAGCTAAAAATTAAGAAATCTCATGTGTGTGTTATTTTCTTAACCTGTAGCAAAATGAATCTAGCACAATATATGAAAACACATACAAATGTTTTATTGATATTAAAAGTTACTGTGCTTATATACCTCTTTTCCCAAGCCTCTATACTTTGCTTGCTTGTCACGTTTGGATCATTATAGTCAAGAAGAGAGAAACCTGCTGTTTCCAGTTTTCTTTGTAAGTGTAAGCCACTTACAAATTTCGACAAGCCTTGAAAGGGTTAATTAGAGTGCAGGGTGTCTCAAGCCACATGTCTTGAAAGGAACATATATTAACAATTCCTAAAGGACAGGACAATTTTAGGGATTAAGAGAGTTGAGAGACCTGTGCCTCAAAGAAGGGTGATCAGCACAAGGCCTGCAGCTAGAGATTTGTATTCAAAACCCAGAGCAAGAAAGGACAGGTGTCCCAAATGCATGCGTGGTTCAGCAGCTGGGTAGACTTGCAGCAACTTGAAGTTTAATCTAAAAGTGACTGGTTTTGCTGTGCAGAAGATGTTACAATGCCTTCATGTTTTTAAAAGTTCTTTCAGATAGAAAAACAAATACACATTGATGGTGTGTACAGGTCCTTCTAGAAACAGGAATTAGTTTTGCACACTTGTACTGATAACTTCAGGTATGGTTAGAGGTATTAAGCAATGACATAAGTTATTTCAAGATCCTGATGTTTTCTGCTTTACTGGTCAGGATGCAATGCATAGCCTGTTGGCTACCAAGACAGATAGAGGCACTCACCTCTGCTTGCTCTGGGCACACTAGAATGTCTAAAAATTTGCCTTACGAAAGGAGTAGAATCTGTGTTGCCTAAACGGAGGGAAAACAAAAAAAGTTTCAAAAGCATTATGTAAATAAGAAAGCAACTGTACTTAAAAATGACTGCCATATTTGTAACAGTATAAGTACACAGTTTGTGCTCTTAAATACAAAGAGATGAGAAACTTTTAAATTATTATATCCCCTTGAATAACTCTTTTAAAGCAATAACCGTATCAGGGTTCTGCTCACTGACTAATAGCTTTAACCACTCTTGGATCCCAGTGAGGGCAATGGGCTTCCATGTGGGTGTATGAATACCTGGCTAATGGACAGCACTGTGGGAACACAGCACACAACAGTTATGGACTGAGCTGCTTCATAGCAGGTCTTCAAATTGGCAAATTCCAAACTCCCAAGTGTGCTCTTACTGCTGAGACTGACTGCGGTTTGTATTAGCATGCTGCTTGTGAGTGGCTCTAGCAAAGGCATGGATGCCACTGCATCTTCTGCTGGTGGCAGCAATATTTGGCAGAGATATAACTTCCAGCCCAGGACAGTAATTGTTTTGGATGCCTGCAGATGAGCTCTTGAACT